AGACAGACAGACAGAGACAGAGAGAGGGGAAAAACAGAAAGAAAAAGAGGCCAAGAATTTGGAAAAGGGCACAGGAAGGTATAAGGGAGGAAAAGGAAGGGAGAACTGTATTATAACCTCAAAAAATGAAAGAAGTGTTTTTTTTGAAAACTATTTTGAAAAGTTTCTAGGAAATTAGATAAAACTTAAAGGAACCTAAATATAAATGTGATCATATATTTTCTTCCACTCATGTGTAAATACCTCTTCTCCTAAAAATATTAACAATATACAATAATTTGCTATTTAAACCTTGACAGCACTCTAAACAATTCATTAAATTCAAGGAAACCTCACTTAATAGAGCAATAGGATTTGAAAAATATTATTTAAAAAGTTAGCTCCAGAATTCGCCAGGAAGGAGAATATTTTAAATAAAGATTCTCCCTCAAAAAAAAACCTTCTAAGTAGAATACTTTGGGGATAAGGTCGTTAGCTTAGGCTACCATGCACCAGAGTAATTCTAAAGGGCTCAGATGTGGAAATACTGGGTCTGGGGAGAAGCCTCAGTGGGTGAGAATGCTTGCTGTTCAAGGCCTCTTGGCTCACCTCTGTCCTGGAGTGATCAGACCTCCTTGCCTTCAGATTGCCAAAGACTTCAACTTCACCCTACAGAGCATGCTCAGTCTCATCTCCTCTGGGTTCAGCTGCTGCCAAATCACACATATTTTCTATGCCCTCAATTTTGGATCCAATGGGCTGGAATATCTTTGGATCCAAATGGCAGTGCTGAAGCATTCTGCCTCACGTCAGCATTCTTTATACCGTAACACTATGACTCAGGCACCTAGGGAACTTTCCGGGTTTCATTACAGTAAGTTGAGTTCACATAATTTTTGACAGCTTGTCACCTGCTCAATCTTCCTTGTTAGAATACAGCTGAGATACAGTGTTTCAAGCTTAATATGCTTTTCCTCAAATCTCAATATACTGCAAACTTTACTATGGGCTTTAGAGAGAAAGGCTCGGAGACCTTTTTGTAGGCCCAGTTGTCTTGTTAGTGGCTCTATCAGGAAGCCTGTTTATAATTGCATTTCTGTTATTGTCATAACACACTCTGATCAAAAGCAATTTAGGGGGAAAAAAGGGTGTATTCATCTTACATTTCCAGGTCACAGTCCATCATTGAAGGAGGTCAGGGCAGGAACTCAATCAGAAACTTGAAGCCAAAACCGTTGGGGAACACTGCTTGCTGGCTCTCTTAAAGGCTCCTGCTTAGGTAGTTTTCTTGTGCATCACATCCCAGAACCACATGCCCCCAGAGTGCTGCAGCCTGTGGTGAGCTGGCTGCTTCTGTATCAGTTAACAAGAAAGACAACCCCCCAGAGCTATTCTCCAGATCAGTCTGATGTGGGCAATCTCCCTCCATTGATACTTCATTCTCCGGTGACAGTGGGCTGTGTCAAGTTGACAGTTAAGGCTAACTAGGATGGCTGCATAATGTGGGAGGCTCCTGCACATGAGCTGGTTATTTCCGAGCTTGGGAGAACCACGTCATGTCTTTTGTTGGTTGTCTGGAGTCCCACACCTTTGCCCTGCAGAATGTAAAGGCAGCAGTGTCTTCAGATCCAGTAAAAGGTAAAAAACCACCATCTGAGGAGCAAGCCAGAATTTTCTGCCTAAAGTCCCGTTAAAAGTAATGTGGTGGTATCTTGCTTAATTGAGTCTTAATTTGCATTTTCTAAATGTCTGACGAGCTTGAACATCTTCTCACGTGCTTGCAATTTCGTTTTTAAATTCAAAACATTCCCTGTGGTTCTCAAGTCTATACTGCTAGGTCATGGGAGAAAAGTGCTCCAGCTCGCCAAGGTTGTCAGCTGTTCAAGCTAATTGTGCAGCGCACGCATTTGTCATCTCTGTGTCCAGAACATCCACGGGGACTCAGCACTCCCTAAGCACCCCAGAGGCAGAATTACTTAGTGCTCCTTCATTTGCTTGTAAACTGACTGTGCACAGTCATCCTACCCCAGTGGGCTACTTCCTGCCATGCCTGAGAATTCCTGGCCCTCCAAGACTCATGAGTGGCATGCTGATCAAGAATTAATTGTTTCTGTTATCAAGTCTGGGTGATGCAACTTAGACTAGCTATTCTAGCTACAACGTGGTTGTTACAACAGCTAAGCAAATGCCAGTAAGAACCAAGGGCTATTCCCTAGGAAGCTAAGCTGGTAAAATGTTGAACAAGAAAAGAAAAGATAGTGGGGAAAGAGACCCTGAAGTGATAAAAGACCTCATGGTACTTCACACCCATCCAAACAACATTACAACATGTTTAAGTCTTTGTAAATCTGAATGAAATATACAACATTGGAAGTAAATTTTCAGTGTGGTTTATCTAAGGAAGATATTGCCAGACAATGGACCAAGATGTAAAGAAAGGCTTTGAAAGGATATAATAGATTTCACTTATCAGTATCTAGCTAAAAATGTTATGTAACAGAATATTTGAAAAATAAAGCAAATATTTTTAAAAATGGAAGCCAGAAGTGTCTCTAGGTGGTAGAGTACTTGCCTTGTACACAAGGTCTTGGGTTATAACCCCAGCAACGGAGAGGAGGAGACCAAGGAGGAAGGAGGATGGTAAAGGAGAGGAGGAGGAGGAAGTGAAGAAGTATTACTAAACATTAAAACACAATATTTTAGAGTAATTGTCATTTAGTTATGAATATTTAAAACACACACAATAATACTTTAAGATTTCTTTGTAATTTTCATATTGTGAAATTTCACAAAATTTATCTTAGTTCCTTCCTAATATTTTATTATATCATTATAATATTCTTAGTCTACCTAGTTTCCTAATCATTTTCATCTCAGATATTTGGGGAGTTTCTGGTTTTCCATATTAACAAATAGCGTGATTAACTATTATTGTGTATAACTTTCAAAAATATGTTGGACGGGCTAAAGAGCACTGGCTGCTCTTGCAGAGGACCGATGTTTGGTTTCCAGCCCCGACACCACATACTCACAACAACAAGCAGTCCCAGCACCTGGTGTTTGGATGTCCACTTCCGGCCTCCACAGGCACCAGCCTTGTGCATTGTTCAGTTATATACATGCAAACAGAGCACTCACACTCATAAAATGGAATTTCAAAAATCTTTTTTAAAAAATACACTAGAGTTTGTCTGTAAGATAGATTCTCTGAAACGAACTTAAGTAATTAGTGGAGCCCAGGCTGGCTTCAAACTCGTGATCCTCCTGCCTCCACCTCCTTCAGCAAATTCTACGTGTGTGTATGTGTGAGTGCGTGCATGCACCTGTGTGAGTTTATATGCACCTTGTACATGCAGGATCCTGGGCAGGCCTGTAGAGGGTGCTGGATCCCCTGGAACTAGAGTGGTTTGAGCAACAAGGTGGATGGGTGCTGGAAACTGAACCAAGGTTCTCTGCGAAAGTAGCTAGTGCTCTTAACCACTCAGCCATCTCTCCAACCCCCTAAAGGTTTTCTTAAACCATTAGACTTGGTGATATCTTTTTTTACCATATGCATTTTAGTATAATTTTATGAACATGCAATTTAAACCACTCTCCTAGAAATGAATGTTTTCTGTTTCTATATATTATAAATAATATCAAAATCTATATTAATGTTGCATTACTCCCTGAGGTTACCTTCTCAAAAGTAAAATGGCCAGTGGAAGGCTATTAGTAATTTTATATATGTATCCATAATATGCTTCAGAAGGGAGAGATTGATATACACTCCCACCAACAGCCACTGCATGCTTGCACATCTGCAGAACGCAAACAGTAAGCACTCTAATTATGTCGACTAGTCACACCTGAAACCATTTATGTAAATGACCCAATTCCTCTGAGATTGTCCCCAGGTGTGTGGATTTACAATCCGATTCTCTTGCAGATCTGTTCTTTGGTTTAGAGGAATCAGTTTATACTGCTGTTGTGTGAAGGGTAATGGAGAAAGTGCAGACAATACAAACTTCCACCACGGAGGTATTTATCATCTCGGCTCATCTATCATTATAGACCCTTTTGGCTAAACCTACCAGCTGAGGTTTAAAGGCCCTGATGGGTCATTGTCATACACCTGTAGGATTCTCTGACTGCTTGGGTATTGATTTATCCATTTTGGAATTCCTTCCCATTGATTTATTAAGCCTATATATCTTGTGGTGGGCAGCTTCTGTCTATAAAAGGTGGCTGAGAGAACCATTTCACAATCATGTGTTTTACAGCTCCCTGACATTCATGGACTGGCTCTGATTTGCCCGGTGCTGGTATCGGCGCTAAGAGGAGTTACAAGTCTGGCCTCAGTCTTGATGCATTGTTGGCCCTGCAAAGTACAGTGTTGAGATAATAATAAGATCTAATAACCAAACTCACAGCAGAAGGGACAAGATGCTTTTAGTCATGCAGGTTTCACAGAATTTATAAAGAAGGAAGGACAGTGGTAGAAATGGACTTGTGCATTCCTCAAATACTCATGAAGAAACTGGAAATCGCCTTCGTTAAGATAGTGCCAAGTTCATCAGAGGGCCCAAAAGCTGAGAGGTCAAGACAGTGGCCATGACACAGGTCAAGAATTTGAAGCTGTGGCAGTCACATCTGGAAAATCTCACCAGTGACAGGACAGGACTGCTCTTTGACAGGGACAGGGTGTCTAAAGCGTCTTCCGATGGCCTGCTCTTAAATGGATGGTGCTAACACCTTTTATAGGTAGGGACTTTGGGTGGAAAGCCAGCATGAAGTAATGGCATCCAAAGGGTCTGAACTTAAATTCAGCATTTAGAAGCTGTGAAACTTTGGGAAACTCACCCATGCTTTGTGTTCCTTAATGACCAAGGCATTTTACATTATTTTAATTGTTTTTTATGAACATATAAAATAATGAGTTTTATTCATATTTTCATATTTATATTGCATTGTATTCGACTAATATTCCCTCCCACTACCATATTCTATCCTTCCTTGCCTCTGCCCCCAAGCTGGTCCCCTTTCTCCACCAACTTGTCCCCTTTCTATTTTCATGTCTTGTATGTGTGTATATATGTGTGTATGTGTTTAGATCTAGATTACACACATGAAACAAGACAATATTTGTCATTCTTTTCTGCCTCATTATCCTTTCTTGTTCCCCAACCCTCCCTTTGAGGACCTTTCTTTCTTCTTTTCATTTTCATATAATATTTTTATCTTTTTAATGAAAAAAATATTAATTGTGTTTGTGATGTGTAAAGACAGGCACACCAGCAATGTCCCAGCATGCTTTCAAAGGTCAGAAGGCAACTTTGTGGAGTTAGTTTTTGTTTTCTACCATTACATGGGTTCTGAGGATTGAACTCGGATCATCAGGCTTGTGTGGCATGCATTTACCCACTGAGCCACCTCTCCAGCCCATCATATCACATTTATAAAATATAGCCTCTATGTGACAAAACACGAGATACTTGCCTTTCTTAGCCGGGCTAACACAAGAGAGACCAATTAGCTCTCCTTTTCCACCCATTTACCTGCAGAAGACGTCATTACATTCTTCCTGAAGGCTTAAGACCTGTTGTGTACATGGATCACATCTTCTTTGTCCATTCATCTGCTGATGGACATCTAGGCTGCTTCCGTTATCTTGGCTATTGTGAGTAGTGCACAGTAACAAGGGGTGCAATAGCTCTGAGGAGAGCTGGCCCGGTCGCTGGTCGTTTACCTGGAGTAATAGACCTGAGTCGTATCATGGAATCTCCATACTGTTTGCCAGTCTGAATGCCCAGTGAAAGTGCAGTAGGGTTCATCTTCCCCACTTCCTCATGAGCACTTTATTTTCCTGATGCCAGTCATTCTGATGGGTGAGATGAAGTCTCAAAGCACTTTTAATTTGCTTTTCCCTGGTGACTAAGGACCTGGAACCCTTTGAAAAATATGTATTGTCCATTTGTGTTTTGCCTTTTGATAACTGTCTGTACAGTCCATTGACTGTACCGCTTTAACTTTTTGAGTTCTTTTTAAATTTTAGATATCAACCCCATGTAAAATGTGTGCTTGGGGAAGGTTTCCCTGTGTGCAGGCTGTTTCTTCACTTAGCCGATGGTTGCCCTCTGCACAGAACCTTCTGGTTTCACGTGATGCCTGCCACTTGTCACCTTTGCAAGTATTCACATCGCTGTGGTGAGCTTTTCCAGAGAGACTTCTCCAGTTCCTGGACACTGTGGTGTTTTCCCCTGGTGGTTTCAGAGTATCACCTCTTAGAGGAAGATCCATTTTTATGAAGGCTGACACCTAAGTGTCATTCTCCTGCATGTGGAAATAGATTTTTCCCAGCACCTTTGGTGAGAGGCTATTTCTCTAGTGTATGTTTTTGATAATTGTGTCAAAGATTAAGAAGCTGTGGCTTTGTGTGTTTACTTCAGACTCTTTATCCCACTTGATTGGTGCCGGTGTCTGGTTTTATGCTTGTTCCTTGCTGCTTTTGTTGCTGCGACTCTGTGACATAATTTGAGGTCAGAGACTGTCAAATCTCTGATATTGTATCCTTTAGATCAACTACAGTTGTGCCTACTTGAGGTCTCTAAGGCCTCCATATTATTTTGAGGATTATTTTTTCCAGTTCCATGAAGAGTAATATTGGAATTTTGAGTGGACTGTGTTGAATCTGAACTGTTTTCAGGGATGTGGTCATTGCCACACTGTTAGTTCTCCTAAACAAGCAGCTGAGTCTATCACCCAGTGTCTTCTTCAATCTCTTTCTTGAGGATTTCCAAGTTTCCACTATAGAGAATTTTTACCTCCTTGCTGAGGTTTATTCCTGTGGGGTTTTAGCTGGTTTGGAAGCTATTATTAGTGAGGCTTTGCCTTCATTTCTTTCTTATCCAGTTGATTATTAGTATATCAAAAGCTACTTTATGTTTTACTTTATATTCTGCTATTTTACTACCTATGGTTGTTTGGTTAGTTGTTTTGTTGGTTTGGTTTTGGTTTTTTGAGACAGGGTTTCTCTGTGTAACAGTTCTGGCAGTCCTGGAACTCTCTTTGTAGACCAGACTGGCCTCAAACTCACAGAGATCTGCCTGCCTCTGCCTCCCAAGTGCTAGGATTAAAGGTGTGTGCCACCACTGCTCATCTTGTACATATGATCTTTTAAGTACAGGATCACCATCTGTAAGAAGGGGTAATTTGATTTCTCCCTCTCCTGTTTGTATCTCTTCCATGATTGACCTGGATTTATTTCTTCTCTTGCCTAATTCATCTAGCCAAGACTTCCAGCTCTATATTCAATGAGTGGATATCCTTATCTTATACCTATTTCTGAAGAAATTCTTTCAGCTTTTCTCTGTTTAATGTAGTGTTGGTTAGATCTGCCCTTCCTGTATTGAGTTCCTTCTATTCCTGCTTTCCCTAGCTCTCATCATGAAGGAATGTTGAACTTTGTCAAAGGCCTTTTCTATCGCTTCTCGGCCTTTTGGCTAAGATCAAGTGACAAAGGCCTTTTCTGCATCTATTGAGATGATCATGTGATTTCTATCCTTGACTCTATTTATGTGCTATGTTACATTCATTGATTTACATATCTTCAGGCATCCTTGCATTCCTGGAATGAAGCCTATTTGATCATGACATATCATTCTAGTGTGCTTCTGAATTTGGTTTTCTTATTTTCTTGAGAATAGTTTCATGATGATCACCAGGAATATTAGTCTATAGTTTCCTTCCTTCCTTCCTTATTTTCTTCCTTTCTTCCTTTCTTTCTTTCCTTTCTGTTCCTTGTGTATATGCCTTTTTGGTTTAGGTATTAGGATAACACTCCTCTCATGGACCAAGTTTAATACTGTTGGTTCCCTTTCTGTGGAACAGTTGGGGGACACTGGGCTAGCTCCTCTTAAAAGTTTGAGTAGAATGCAACGTGAACAAATCATTTCTTGACTTTTCTTTGTTGTGTGACTATTACTGCTTCGGTCTTCTCTGTTGTAGGTCTGTGTGGGTCATCTATATCCTCTATTTTGGTAAGTCATATTATCTAGAAATTTCTCCACGTCTAGATTTTGCAGTTTTTTTGGAAATCAGGTTTTCAAACTGTTCCCTATTGAGTCTCTGAGTTCTCTTGGTATCTATTGTACTGATTCCTTTTTCATCTCTAACTCTGTTGATTTGGCTTTTCTTAATTTTTCTCTGTTAATTTTTATTTTTGTTTAGTTTGTATAAAGGTTGGTTGACCTTGCTTATCATTCAAAAGCCAACTCTAACTCAGGGTCTTCATACACTACGTTTAGTGTCATTCATTTCTGCCTGTTCTTTCTTAATTTTTTCCTTCTACTGTTTTTGGTTTGGCTTGTTCTGATTTCCTAAGATTGTAAGAATCACCATTAAATTATTTATAAAAAAAGACATCTGACTTTGTAAATGTAAGCACACATAGATATAAACGTTCCTTCTTGAGCTGCCTTTGATTTATCTCCCAAAGTTCTGATTAGTGCTAGTACTTTCACTTTCATTTGATTCTAGGAATTTTTAAATTCCTTTTCTGATCCCTTGAATGACTCACTGATCAGTCTGAGTATGTTGTTCAAGCTCTACATACTTATGGACTTTCTACTCATGCAGCTGATTTGTAATCTTATTCCACTATGATCTCATATGATGCAACAAATTATTTTGATTCTTTTATATTTGTTATTATTTCATGGCATAAAATGTGGCCTATTTTAAAGACAGTTCCATGGGTGCCAAGAAGAATGTGTTCTGTAGCTGTTGGATGGAGTATTCTGTAGATATATGTTAAGTGCATTTGGCCTATGGTAAACTTGAACTCTGAAATTTCTTTGTTGAATTTTTTTCCCTCTGGATGACGTCTACTAAGGATAGTGGGGTACTGATGTCACCTTTATTGTTATAAGTGGTCTCATCTGTCTGTTTGTGTCCAGTAGCCTTTTTAAAATGATACGTGCACTAATTTCCAGTGCACATACACTTAGAATCATTCTATCACCTTCACAGACTGTTCCCTTTAGTAGTAGGGAAGTGACTTTTTTCTCTTTCCAGCTAACTTTGGCTTAAAGTCTACTTTACCAATTATAAATATAGCTCTTTGCTTGTTTGGAGCCTCTGTTTACTTGGTAAATTGACTACTTTTTTTTTTTTTGCTTCAGCCTCTGTGTATGGTTTCATCAATGAGATATTTTTCTCCCAAACAACAGAGAATTGAATCTTGTTTTAAATCCAACACACTAGTCTGTGTTTCTTCATTGAGGAACTAAAACTATTTACCTTGAGGGATTTGCTGAGCTCTTATAATTGTCTTGATGTTTCCCTGACTGGTTCCCTTGCTATGGTTTTCTCTCTTCCCTATACATATTAGGAGTTCTCGGGCATGCTAATTCATTTAGTTTAAGCTCGAGCCTCCTCGTTTAGTTTTTATCTGGCTACCTCATCCTGGGTGAGACACTGTCCACAACTCTCCTGCCTAGCCATGGACTTAGTGATGAAAACAGTTCTCTGCCCAAATGAGGTCAGGAGTCAAATCCATTTTCGGAACCTGCACAGAACGTCTCCTAAGTTCTGACTTCCTGAGGGTAAACTGGAACACAGATGAATATTGGGTCTGTAGGGTGCTGAGGGAGCCTTTAGACACACAGAATACGTGCAAGGGCTGAAGCATCCTTTGGACTTTGAGTGAGAAATGACCCCAGAGGCTTATGTATGTGAACACTTGGTCCCCAGGAGATGGCACTGTTTGTGGGGTAGAGCCTTTAGGAGGTGTAGTCTTGCAGGGGGAAGTATGTCTCTGTAGGCTGGCTTTGAGGTTTCATAGCTTTGCTCTACTTCCTGTTCTCTCTGCTTCCGTGTGTGCACGGATGAAAATGTGACCAGCCAGCTTCCTGGCCCTGCAGCCATGCTTTCCCTGACTGCCACCATGGCTTTCCAACGTGAGAGACTCGGTCTCTCCGGAACCGTGTGCTAAAGTAAACCCCGTTCTCCTCTAAGTTGCTTTTGGTCCTGGTATTTTATGACAGTAACAGGAAAGCAGCTCTCATACATCCTTTCCTCACGGTGATTTAGGAAGGGACGAGGATCAGACTGGAGGCCAGAGGTGGGGCTCCACACATGTCAGTGAGGAGGTGGAACATCTAGGAGCCAGAGAGTGACAGCCACATTTAAGACTGTCCTTCAAAGCTGTTAGGAAGGGATCCTGTGAAGACAGAGGGATGGAACACATTATTTTAATCATGTTAGCTTGATTTTTTTTTTTAATTCTAACCATTTAGAAATATACTATGGAAACTTCCATGTGTGCCCTTCTGAGCCTCATAAACTAAACTGCACTTTTAGAAAATCATAGAAAAACGGTAATCCTATGAGTTTCAGGGTGTACATCAGCTTAAAAAGATCACCTGAGAATCTTAGAAAAGTACAAATCTGGGCTGAAACCTCCCAGGTATTCAGACACTGTTGACTTAGGTTGGGACTTGAGAACATGAATTTTAACTGACTTACCAAGTTTTAAATTGGATTGGTTTTAGGGATTTTGTTTGTTTGTTTTAGATAGTACCTTGCTATGTAGCCCAGGATAGCCTTGAAATAAGTGTTCGGCCTACTTAACCCACCCCAGCCTTCCAAGTGCTAGAATCCAGGCGTGTGTCAGTCACCAGAGCTGACTTTCCTGGTTGGTTTTAACAGAGGTGATCCGAACACCATCTAATGTTGGAGAATTCTTGGTGGAGCCAGGAATTTCACTGACAGACAAATGAAAGTAAAGGATTGACAGACAATTCTGAACTATTATCCACAAAGTGCAAACTCAACTTTACAGTCAAGCAAAATTAAAGTATATTAAGCAATGTTGTTCCCTACCACATAGTCCCCTTGGAGGTTAGAGGCCTATCCCAAGCAAGCGGCTATTGCTCAAAAAACTGTGACACTAATTTTTTTCCATTGCTTTAGAGCCCCATGAAAAGCCAATCTCATTATTCCACATCACAGTTTGCATTTGACAGAAAGCAGCATTCTCCAGAAGGATGGTGCATATTACTTAGCAGATTTAGTTCCTGTACTTTCCAAGTCAAAGAAGTAATAAAAGAAGATCTATTATATAAACACACCTGTTTATTTCAGCCTCACTAAAGTGAGGGTGGGGAGGAGGAGCCCATTTACAAAGACAAAGAAAGTGAGAAGACTCCAGAGGCATGGGAGTCAGTGCTACAGAAACCAGAAGTAAGTGCAGGGGTGTCCGTGACCTGAGCACAATAAGGAAAACAAAGGGATAGACTGGTGTCACCTCTGGACCCTGCTTCAGGAATCAGAGGTCACAAGCGACTTTAAGGAGGAGTGTGGTCTTTGGATACAAACTCTGAAAACTGACTAGTTAGTGCACCCAATAAAGAGCATTATCATCTAGGAAACAAGAAGTCACAGTTGGAGCACCAGCTCTGCCTTCCTAAGTTCCTTGACTTTGCCCTTTTCTGAGAATGGGATATGACCTCAGCTTGGTCTCCTCTGATAGCAGCAGGAAGGCCACGTCCATTCCTGGTGGGACCGTGAGCAGAGGACCGTTTCTTGGTGGTGCTCTTGAACACAAGAAAGCGTTTCCCAGAAGCCATGTCTTCTGCGTCCCTCTTTCCACCTTTCCAAAAATCACGGCACATCCCCATGCCTAACCCTTGACTTACTGAGACCTTTCACTACCCAGGCCATGGGGCTCGGTCCACCCTGTGGCATCACTTGGCTAGCATGCTCCTCAGTGAGCAGAAAGGCCACAATAGCAGAGGCAGCTAAGAGGGATCAGCCACAGAGAATGGAGTCTTGGACCCAGCAAGGCCTGTTCTGTGGCCGAGGTTAATGCTATGAGTTAAAATCCATCCACTCACTTAACGTAACTTTGAATTTGGAGGTAATTTTAAGACATGTGCTTCAGTATGGAATTTACAAAGGTCCGTCAGGACATGATTTCAAGTCTGAATGATTCCTAAGCCATTGTTTTAACTCTCCAACCACTGCTTAACTCCTTTGTAACTCTCATTCCTTCCCCGACCCCAGGGTTGCATAGAAAACCGTTCAAAAATCAACTGTGGGGATCGGGAGATTGCGTGGTGGGTAAAGGGCTTGAGTGTGAGGACCTGAATTCTGGATCTTTATACACCCGTATAAAGCCAGACACAGTTGGGTGGGTGGGAGGGGATCTGTAATGCCAGTGCTCCCACAGAGAGATGGGGAGGTGGGGATCAGACTCCCCAGAAGCTAGAAGGCCAGGAACGTACACCTACTCAACAAAGAGACCTTGTCTCAAACAAAGTAGAAGGCAATGACCGACCTCCACACCTGAGCTGTGACAAGTCACAGGGTATGGGGGGTGGGGATGGGGCAGAATAATAACAATAACAACAACAGTGGTAACAGTAACTGCACATGGAACAGAGGCTAACCATCTCTGAACCCCTATTTTGCCCCACTTCAATTCCACCAAAGCTTGTGATTTGTGGGCACAAGGATGGCATTGACGATAGACGCCAGGAATGAGAGTAATTAAGAGATGTCAATGGTCAAAGAGGTGGGGATCAGTTCAAGCCCAACCGGGGCATTTAGCTATTATATTGCCGCACCCTCTTAGGCCTCTTCCAGCTTATAAATATTAATTTAAAGACTACCAACAAGGAGTAAACGGATTTGGGCATAAACCTTCCTGACAGGGGTGATTTATAGCCAATAAAAGGCGAGCAGGGTAGAGAAAGCCCGCCTCGCTAGGTTTACGATAGACAGTGAAATAGCACCATCAAAATAAAAGGATTGCAGTGTCGGGCCGTGGGGGTGTCTCCCTTCTTAATAAGCAGTGGCTAGAACTGTATTGTTTGCGTTTATCAGGGCCTCACATGGCCAAGGGAAACTTCTCCTGGATTGCTCGTTGAACGTGGACAGATTTATAGGCTCACGGCCCGAGCACGAGCAAGATTATTAGGACTTAAAAGATAATAGCACCAGCAAGAAAATTAAAACTGCTTTCCTTCCTTAGATTTCATCAGTGCATGACGTCTGCTCTTTCTACACCCTACACGTGGTGTAGGAATGTGTCCAAAGTAAGATCTGCCTCAGAGTCCATGCAGGAATGACTCCATGCCAGAAAAATCTGCAGCCACATTCACAGGCCCACAGGGGCCTGCCTACATGTGTCTGAAAGTAATGCCAATGCAACTGTTTTGTAGGGACTGGGGGTCGATGGCTCAGTCAGTAAAGTGCATGGAGGCCTGAGTTCAAATGGATCCCCAGTATACACATAAAAATGCTGGATGTGGTAGAGCATCAATGACCCCAGCTGGGGGGAAGCGGAGATGACGGAAGCGTGGCTAGCACAAAGCCCTGAAAAGTCCAAGGCGACAGGGACAAGCAAGATACAAAATAACCTACACCCTCAAGCCAGTAGACCCCCTTAAGTAACAAGAGATACTTCCAGATGAATCAAATAAGTCTGGGAGAAGGAAGAGAACAAGGTATCATGGATCACCCCAGGCTGCTAAGTAGAAATACTTGTGTGTTACACATCACTTAGAAATCAACAGCACTATAGTTTTAGTGTTGGGTGGTATAATAGGCTGGCCATCCAGATACATAAAGCTTTTTTCCCTTGTGTCTACATGATTAGAGGAAGATGTATTTATACATGAATAACTTTATGTCTAAGTAACCCACTATTGGTTCATCAGAACTTCTAGCTTTAATATAACCTACATTTTGATTTTGTTAGTTTGAATGAGCAGATAAAAGCACAACTCCACTTTGTAAAGTTTTAACTGTGCCTGTGTGTGTGCAGGTGCACTTAGAGGCCAGAAACATCAGTTAACAAGCAGTTATGAGTCTCCCAGTGTGGGTGTTAAGAGTCAAATTCAAGTCCTCTGCAACATTGATATGTGCTCTTAACTGATGAGCCATCTCCACCCCACACACACACTCACACAATTTCACTCCTGCTTCCCAAGGTCTCATAATCTGACTGCAGTTCTGTTGTGGGAACTTATGGTGAACTGGACACAAGATGTTCAGTCCATTGGGAATTATTATTGTCTTCCCATGGATTCCCATTGCAAGAGCTGGCATTCATGCTTAAGGATATAGGGGACACTGTGCCCATTCTCACTTGTTCTCAGGGACAGGGAACACCCTGTTCAGACTCCTCCCAGGAAGGGTGATGCCATATAGCTAAGTTTTCACTTATCTACATTTCAGAGATTATAGAAGTGTTCCTTTTAGACCATTAAAGGGACAAATAAGGTGGCCTAGGAGGGGTTTATATAAAAAGTGCTAAGTCTGATGGAGTCCATCGTAAAGCACATGGAGGCACCAGCAAAGTCCCACCTGGAGATCACACCAAGATTCAAAACTAATGGGGATAGATGTGTAGCAGGAAGCCTGGAATGAAGCTATACCCGGCTTAAAGAGAACAGTATGGTTGAACAAAGCTTTGATGGTGGAATTAACATGAAACAAAGGCCCTCTGAGGAAGATCAGTCTGCAAAGAAATGAGGAATACATAAAACTTTGTTTAATTTATGGGATTTATATGCTGCTGACCAGTAAGTGTGAAGTCCCATTCCCCTGGTCCTCGCTATCACTCATGTATCACTTGTCAGTAACTGTGATGCACTCGGAACATAACAGCTACGGTAATATTTCTGTTCCCACTGCAGCTTTACTGCACCCATGGAACTCTGTAATCTTTAAATTCCCTCACTGTTAACATCTGCCGAAACATTATTGGTCCCAGCATAGCCAAGCTGCTCAGAAATTACATTTAGCAGAGTAGTTAATGCTAAGGGTGTCATTCTAGACGCAACCGTGTCTGAAAGGGGCTTTAACTCGCCCAGTGACTGTGTTTCTTTTAGGTTTTTCTTTCTTTTGTATCTATCTTGTATCATACGCTCATTGGCTTGAGGGTGTGCCCTTTAACAAGCTAGTGAGATGGACCGGTAGATGGACAGATGTGCACGCACAGCTTGTCATTGTTCAACAAACACCATTTTACATGCTGACACTTCCTATTTCATTCCTCCAACGGCCTCATTCCCTATAACATTTAAATTTCTTTTTTAAAGATTTATATTTTTATTATTTTTAATTATCTATAGGTGTGTGTATGTGAGTGTGTATTGTGTATATGAATGAAGGTGCCTTCAGAGGTTAGAAACATCAGATGCCCTGTACCTG